GGGGGTCGGGTAGCCCCGCGGCGGGGGTCCGGGGGTGAAACCCCTACCCCGGCTTGGGCCCCGGGGATCCTCGCGTGACAACCCTGTAGACCGAAAGTTGGCCTCAATTTCCTCACAGGGTCACCTGGTCCTGAATGGGTGGTTGTTCAGTGAATGAGAGCTCGAACAGATGGTCCCAAGTTCTGCAACTGTGGAGAGGAGCTCCTGTAAGTAGGTAGAGTCATACTCAGTGGGTTGGCTGGAGTCTAAACCTGCTCGCTCGGTTTCTGGCCCGGTTGCAGGAGATAGGCAGAAGGATTGCGAGTGGAAGGAGCGACTTTCGAGCTAGGGGACCCAGCAGGCTCCCGCTACCGTTTTAGGTGGCAGTTAAGGGTTGATAGTAGGGGCAGATGGAAAGTTGGGTATATAGTGCTTCGTTGGATCTTGTTTTTTTGTCTTTCGGGCCCTGTTAGGCTTTCAAGGCCATGATGGCGCTTGGTTGTTGTGTAGTTTTAGTTTTTGCGGTTTGTGTTCGGTTCTTAAGGCCTGATGGCATAAATTGTTTCTTTTCCTTTTTTTTTCCCAGGGTTGGGATGTGTCAGGGCAGCGGTCCAGAATTGGCCATTCTGCTACTAGACCACAGTGTCCCAAGGCGGGTTGTTTTTGTTGAGGACTTCCCGGCCTCTTTTTTGGTTTGGTAATAAGAAGGACCTGAGTTTTTTGTAAAAAAAAAAAAAAAAAAAAAAAGGCTATACAGGGGACCCCTGCAAGCATAGCTTTCTACCTCTCTTCGGTGGAGGGAGGTTATCTATCTCGGTCGTTGGAGAGGGGTAAGGGCATGTTTGCCCCTTGCCCTAGCGTTTTAGGGTGCAGGGTTGGGGCCGCCGGTGGGGGCCCGGCTAACACAAGGAGGAACGAGCATTTTGCCGGTAACTGTGCCTCCCTATTCATCTTTCCCCACCCCTATCGAGTAACAGTAGTGTCTAAAGCCAACACTCTCCCACACACCACACTCAACCCACTCACACACCCACTCACACCGTGTTGGCTGAAGACCTTACTGATACCGACTGGGAGGATCCAGCTGACTATGTCAGTTGGTTGGCACCAAGAGTTCAACAGTGCAGGGATGGGGGTCAAAGAAGAAAAAGGAAAGAAAAAGAGAAAAGGAAAAAGAAAAGAAACGAGGAACTATGCATCCACCAGGCGTGGTTCGAGGAATGTATCTGGCCAGTATGTGAGGACCGTGAGACAAGTAGTTTCCTTTGTTTTCTTTTTGTTGTGAGGTTCTTCTAAAGCGGATTCCTGGCGACGCAGCTAACTGCCTCCTTTCATTAAGTTCCAGACAAGTACTGAGGTAACTGCCTCCTTTCATTAAGTTCCAACCGCTTTGAGGCCGCTTCTTTCACGAAATGGATGGGGCATAGACAAGTGTGGACCTCCGACATTCTGTTGGCCTGAGACTCTTGTGTTGTTCACAAAAGCCTGTGAGAACCATGCCAAAGAACAAAAAAAAAGAACAGGCAAAAACTGCCCCTTCTTTTTCGCTACACAAGACAGGGGTGGCCTCTTCCGTTTTTCAAAAGAACTAGTACATGAACGCCAACCGCGGATGTCGTCGTGCCATGTCCGCTCAAGATTCCACATCCCTGACAACGCAGGGCTGCCACCGAATTGTCGGGAAATTTTCTACCATAAACTACACACCGATCAAGAAGTGGGATACCACCCTTATTCCAATTGTCCTTGCAAGTGGGATGTAGCCCCTAGTAAGCCCTGCCAACGAGGCAGGGCAGTCCATTCTGGATTTCATTTCTAGATTTTGTCACTTAGTCGTAGTAAACAGCAGAATGCTTCAATACTGTATTTCTGGGAAGATGCAGTAGAAGAGATGAAAAACCAAAGCGAGACCCAAATCACCCGCCCAGACCCATATTGCCGCCCCCCAGTTTGCAATGGGAAAAAACTCTATCCCTCAAAAGGGAAACAATGGATGGCGCCCTATACCCATATCGCCGGCCCCCAGTTTGCAACGGGAAAACACTCTATCCCTCAAAAGGGAAACAATGGATCGCGCACTGTACGGCCTTTTGCCTATTTTGGGTAGCTTGTTTGCATTTCTTCAAAAAAAAAAAAAAAACTATAGGGCCTATACTAAATTGCAACGACCTAAAAATATAACCCAGTATGAGAGGAACCGTTGGTTCGCACAATTGGCAATTGTGCTTGGCTGAAAAGCCAGCGGTGCAAAGCTACCGTGCGTGGGATTATGACTGAACGCCTCTAAGTCAGAATCTGTGCT